GGGCTGCCGCGCCGGGGCCCCGCTCACCGCCCGTCTCCGTCTCCCCCAGCGCTGTACGCGGTGAAGGTGCGCGCCGAGGCCATGCAGGCGGCGGCGGAGGCGGTTCCCAGCGGGATGCTCTCGGTCATCGGCCGCCCGGAGACCAATTACAGATTTGCCTGCTTGGAAGCCCGTCAGCACTGTGAATCACTGGGCATAGAGAAACCCGTGTGTGAGATCTCAAACTACTTGTTTCCAGACAGCAGAGTCATTGCAGGACACTTACAGGTACTGCTCCAGAGTAGCTGCCCCTTTAGTTGAATTTATAGTCTGTTTTTTTCAGAACTTTCCCTTTGTGCTCCTGTGTGGAAGTTACATGCAGCCTTAGTTTGTCCAAGTACAAGTGTTTGGTCTGTGGGGTGTTTTTCCAGCGTGCACTCAGGTGGTTCTCGGGGGGTGACTGAGTAAACCTGTGTCACGCAAGACTCTAACTTCCCTCTCTCCCTTCTACAGGCTTTGAAGTTTTTGCAGGAGAATGCCCAAAAATATTCCTTCATACGTACAAAAATGCTCCCGGTCAGCGGAGCGTTTCACACCAGACTGATGGAGCCAGCGGTGGAGCCGTTGGCTGAAGTCCTGAAATCGATTGAGATTCAGAAGCCGCTGGTGTGTGTCTACTCCAACGTCAGCGGGAAGAAGTACATGCACGGGGAGCACGTGCGGCAGCTGCTGGCGAGGCAGGTGGTGTCCCCCGTGATGTGGGAGCAGACCATGCACGCTGTGTACCAGAGGAGACAGGGAACAGAATTTCCTTGCACGTACGAAGTGGGGCCCGGGAGGCACCTGGGAGTCATCCTCAAAAAATGTAATTTGAAGGCCTGGAAACAGTATAACCACATAGATGCGCTGGAGGATGAGGAAGCAGCAGAGACCTAAGTAGCCTTTTGAGGGAAAATCCACGCAACATGTTTTTTCTGCCCGATTTAAAAATAACTTTGTGCTCCCGGAAGAGGAAGTCTTTTACCTTCACGGCTTCTCGTGATGAAGAGCCCCGTGTACGTCAGCGCCGCCAGCATTTTCCCTCCCCGTGTGCCTCACGCGGGAAGGGGAGAGCAATGCCCGGCTCGTCTGCGCCGGGGCTGCCACTGAGCACACCCCATAGCCGCCTGTTCGGCCTCAACCCTGTGAGCAACTTCCCCTCTCTTTGATTTTCTCCTTTTCTTAAACCCGGGGGCGGGGCCGCGGATGCAGGTTAAAGCGCTGGCGCGGGCCCCTCGGGGCGGGGGGCTGGTGGCTGCAGGGGGCGGTGGGAGCCAGGGGCCTTTGGAGCCCTCGGGGCACTGGTGGGTCCTTCGTGACACGGACTCATGGGACATTCATCTCTCAATTGACTTTGTGTCCCTGTTGCCAGGCAGCAGCCGGCCAATGTAGATGATGTTGCTTGGAACGTGATTTTCTTAAGGTTAAACTAAATAAACTATGAAGCTTTCCTTGGTATTTTTAATGCCGTGGGGTGCGTCGTTACCGGCCTGTAGCCTACGCGTGCGTGGAAGTAACGTTCCCTGCAGCGCCCAAGGGACACAGGGATGTTGTGCTGAAGGACAGAGCTCCCCAGAACGCGCCCCCTCCCCATGCTGCCTCAGAGGCTGAGCGGGCCCTCGGGGGGACTTTTCTTCACCGACAGAAAGCAGCAGCTTTAGGGACTGGGGGGGGACAGTGTTTGCCAGGGAACGGTGTAGAGGAGAGCAGGGAGGGGTTTCACAGGGCATGCTGTGGCATGACCAGAACCTTCAGCTGAACTCTTTTTTTTTTTTTTTCTTTCCAATATTTTAGTGGTACATTTAACAGATTTAGCAGAAATTTAGGATATATTACTTAAATGATCATGCACATCCTCAGTAATTCCTTGTGAAATGTAGAATAAATCCCAATTGCAGTATTAATGATGTCACAGTTTCCCATTTCTGAAAGGGAAAGCGAATTTAAAAACTGCTTCAGTTAGGCTGGACTAGTGGAGTGTGTTATTGAGTGGCTCTTCTGTGAACTCAGATCGGCCCCCAAGCCTGCCTTTGCAGTACAAATGCTGCTCTTGCCATGGGTAAACATTAACTATAGGTAAAATACAGACGAATTTGTCAGCTGCTGGACTATCACAGGCTGCCAGTTAAGGGTTGGGATTACTGTACAGAAAGTTCCTTCAGCGAAGGCCCCGGTGCTACAGGTGTTAATTATTCAGTAAAGCACACCCGGTTGTCACTAGGTGGTTAGAGTAGCTCAGCCAAATCCCATCTGTAGTATTAAACCCAAGTTACGTGCTGTCTTAGAAGTTTCTGACCACATCTACGACCAAATGTGATGTTCGTGACTTTGAAACCTGCTTTTACGATGGCTGGAACGGAGTGTGGCGTGTCAGTGGCACTAATTCTGGTTTTCATATAGTGCTTTGTAGTTTCTGGACTTTTTTTTCTTTTAATTATTTAACTTTTGTGGAAATATTGGAGATCTGTTTTCTGTTTGTACTGCTCTTGCCATAAGTTTTGTTGTTTGGTTTTTGGTTTTTTTTTCCTCATTCCACTCTGTTGCACACTTTGCCTCCAAGTAAAGCTGCTGTGGGAGAAATGTGCTAAAAATCTCGTTTGCAAACAGGGAGCATCAGATGACCTTTGCACCCTCCTCAGATGCAGAGCACCAAAGGGACGCTGGGTCCGAAGAGCACCCCGCCCTTGTGGGCCCTGTTCAGTTAGTGGGAAGAGGGACCCGTGGCCCCTGCGCGGGGGTTTGCTGTCCGGTGCAGCCTTCGAGCAGCCCCCGAGGTGCCGAGCCGGGCATTGCCTGTTGTGTCCCTGCTCACCTGCCCTTCCTGCTGCTGGAAACGTGCAGGATGATGTGTCAGGTCGGAGCGGTTCCTTCACCTGCGAACAAGAAGCAACGGGATGTGGAAAAAAAAATCAGGTGCCATAAACTCTGTCACAAGGAAGTGTGCTTAAAAAAAAAAAAAAGGAATTAAATTGGGGGGTGCTGAGCTGCAGTGCAGAGCCTGAGGACGGAGGCTCTGGGGGTTCCCCGGGGCGGGGCAGCCCGGCCGTGGCCGCGGGGCCCCTTTGTGCCCATTCCTGTCACAGAGGCTGTTGGCTTTGTGCTGCGCTCCCATCCTTGGTGCGACTGCGTTCTACACCCCGTGAGGCTGTTCTGCTCCGTACCTGCCGATGCCAAACTCCCCCTCTCGTGATTCCCTGTGTTACGTTACTAATTATTAATTGCAGGAGTGAAAAAGCGAAGCCACCCCACACAGCTCTCGGGTGGGATCCTCTTGATGGGCATTTTTACCCTTCACTAAACAATAACGTATTTGCTATCATACCGCTGTTACGGAGTTAACAGAGCAATCAGTTCTGGAACCCTGTGCTGGGTTTGGTTAGCTGGGCAGTCCTGCGGGTCAGCGTAAGGCAGGTCACCTCAGGGGCCTTCTGGGAAAAGGTGACACCGCAGCACGTGCTGCTGCTGCCGCTGCCCGAGCTCCCGGGCTGTGCTGGAGCCATCACCCTCTGCACACCTTCTCTCTGGACTTTCTTTTTTGCTCTGCATTTCAAGTCCGTCAAAGATAGTTCAAAATCCTTTACCATGAAATGGTTGAATGGAATACTCTAATTGAGCCTTTTTCTTCTTTTTTCTTTTTTTTTTTTCCCAGAAGAATTTTTTGAGACATGCAGTTAGGATTGTAGTGGGGTTTGGGCACCTCTTGTGAAAGAGGCAACACGTTCCTCACCCCACTTCACCTGGGCTGGCTTTGGCATTCGCCTCCACGGAAGGAGGGAGTCCTTCAACTTCTTGTCCCATTTGAAGCAGGGGCTCAAACCCAACGCCCTCCATTAAACACCGTATTACTGCATTTTCCTGTCTCAAAGGGGCGGCAGCGGCTCGGCCGGGCAGGAAGCAGGCATCCCCTCTGCCGAGGGGAATACCCAAACCACCACCACGCACTTTCGTTTTCTCTCGTTGAGAGTCTCTGCACAGCGAGGAGCAGCTCAGCAGCGGATCTCGAGGAGCGTTTGCTGCCAGCACAGCACAGCGCTGCCCTGATGGCCGCCGGTGGCAGGTGGGAGCGTGGGGCCCACTTGTCTCCATCCTGGAGTCTCCCTCAGTCATCCATTCCCACTAACCACCTGCCTTCCAGGAAGACATGTCATCAAAAAGATCTCTTTTTCAAATTCTTGGTTTTTTTCTGGGCAACTCAAAGTTTTACTTTGGAAAGAGGCAGAAGAATATAAAGTCCATTAGTAGTTTTCAAAAAAATTCTGGAAAAGTAATTGCTTGGCTTGAGCAGCCCTTGGGTACTGACCCAGCCAGCTTACTTGTGAGCTCCTCCTAACCACACTTTGTCCAACCATCATTTCACCTGCAAATTTGACTACCTAAGAATCAAGTGAAGCCTGTCCTGTCATCTTAGATAGCAAAATGTACAAGACAAGATACTGCAGAGACTTGGAAAAACAGTAGATAACACTGTGAAACATTCGAAGCAACAATTTAATTTTAAAAAAGTATCATGGGTTTGAATCTTTACTGTTGCTTTTACAGTGTTACAATTTTAAAGGATGTCCAGCATGCCTTCAGTCTTCCCCACATCCAGAATCTCTTTAAGAAACTCGTTTATATGAAATAGACACTTTATACTGCATTAAACACAAAAAGACAGACTTTCTCATCGCCTGGAGTCACATTTCAAAACTAGCAAGTCAGGCAGTTATCCAGCAACAACCTCCTTATTTTAAATGTTTTTCTTTTTTAAAAAAGGTATGAAACAGCAGTGACCCAGCACCAGCCTAGGTTTTAAATATAAAAGAGATTTTTATCAGTGTAAATTTGAAAAACAAACCAACTGCCACCACCTGGGTGTTAATGATTTGGTCAGAGTCCAGCAGTGACCTCTTGTCATCCTCTGCGTTAACCCCGCAGTCCGTAAGTCACGGCCCACCACAAGGCAACGAGCAGCAGGGCTGCGGGCACCAGCTTCTGGCAGAGGCAGCTGCAGGGGAGCCTCCAGACCTGCGGGGCGGGAGGGGACGGCGGTCAGAGGGGACGGACGGCGCAGGAACGCAAACACAAAACCCTGTGGGGCGCGGAGAGCAGGCCCTGTCCTCCCGTGGAAACACGCCTCGGGGGCTCGTTTTGCTGAGGGTCGTACAGGCCCCTGAAGAACCTCCCTCCTGCAGGTGCCCCCTGGTAAGGCCCCATGGCAGCAGAGCCGCCCCGGCCTAGGCCCTCGCAGCTCCTGGCGGGGGGAGGTGCCTCCCCTCCGCATGGAGCCCTCGCAGCCGCGTGGGACTTGGGTGGCTGGTGGCAGCCGTTTGGTTCACTCTATAAATGAGGAATTTCATCCTAAAAAGAAAAAACGGGGCAACGGGGGACACCAACAAACTGAGGCCTGAGCCCAAAGCGGGAGCTGCAATCGCAGGCTTGACGCACTGCCACAGGTGAGAGCTGGGCGTTGCTGTAACCTCCTTGTCAACAGAAAGGTGGGAGAAAAGGGAGAAAGCATACCCAGCTTCCATAACCAACGATCCTTTTTGTCCAGTTATTGTTCCAAATAGTTCCAAAGCTTCTTAGAACGCTTTTAATAATATTATTCCATGTCTGGAAAACACTGATGGCAACTCTTGACGATTGAAACAAACAAAAAAGGCATGAGGATAGAAAATTCATTCGAAAAATTGGCCAATAAAATACTAAGGTTTGGAAAACTACAAAAAGAAACACAGAACTCCACTATGTTCCTTCCTGAAAGTCTGTGTGTACATAGATATTTCTCTAAATATTTGGGAAGAAGATCTGGCAACTTTGTAGGGCTTTCAAAGCTCAAGGTAATTTGGTTTCAGGCTCGGAGCGGCGCGCCCCAGCTGGGGCCGAAGCTGCTCCCCTCCGAGCTGTGCCCAGGAGCAGGGTGGGAGAGATCTGCCCTCTCCGAGGCTGCAGCCGCCGTCTGTCCTCTCCCCAGAGCCAGCAGAGGGGAGGCGGGACAGCACGAGTGCCCAGGGTGCAGGCAGGGAGGAGCTGTCTCAGGTGAGGACAAGGCTGTGTGTGGGTTATCCCCAGTGACCCACTCCACCACAACCCGCCAGCTCTCAGAGAGAACAGGAGACTCAAACTAGTCCGCGCATGGTGGGTTATCAACGTGCAGTAACATGCTGACCCCCGAGGCATCGCACTCACTAGGCCACAGACCTCTCATGGCTCAGTTGTGCTTAAAGGCACTGTCTAGCCTAGAAAACACTGTGCTACTGCGATATTGTACACACCAAGGAACTAAGTCTTTGCCTGTAAAGGGCCACAGTCTGTGGAAACAGTGTACACCGTAAAGCTCTTCTGTGTAAAACAAAGCTGCAGCATCTGCTTTGGGGGTTCTAGCTTCTGTATGAAGTAGCAGTAGTAGCAATAAAATTGTTTACTTTGTGCGCAGAAGCGTTATTGTTTCTCTCATAAACCATTACC